TGGCTGGCGAATTCTGGGAGTTGAAGTCCACCCATCTTAAAGGTCCCAAGGTTGAGAAACACTGCTCTAAAGAGATGCCTTGGGCCAGCACTCAAGGAGAGCTTAGGGGACTGCCGGGAGGGAGAAAACTGTTTTCCCCCCAATTCTTCTTTGTGGCTGTCAGAACAGGCTTGAGGCTGGTTTGCCTCCTTGCCGAACTCGCCCACACAAGCACAAATCTGCCTCCTTGCACCAGATCGTTCCCTCTCCCGCCCTTGCAGCCTTCCCTTCCCTTCCCTCCTGCCAGCCACCCCTGCCACCTGTCCCCCCAGTCGCCTTGCTTTTAGGTCATTTCTATGGGACCAATTTAAAGAGGAAAGAGGAAGGAGAGGAAAAGGTCTGCCATTTCACCAGCAGGCTGATTTTTAAAAAATAAGAGCGGTCCCCGCTTTCCCTGGTCCACCAGCCCAGGCTGAACTGGCGCTGGACAGCAGCGACCGCTGACCAGGCACGCCCACCGCAACACGCAGCCAACTGGAGGGGCAGCCTAAAGAAATTAAGCTCTGAAACAGATCCCGGAGCCTTATTTGGTCGACATTATTTCTGACGCAGAGCAAGGAAGGAGGCAGGCTTTTAACCCTGAGTTATGGTGTACCCACGAAACAGAGGACCGTGAAGGCCCTTTAACCAGCCCAAGAGGGTAGGGCTAAAACTACCCTTTCCTGATCCCACAATTTATCACAAGGCCCCCATAAGTACATCGTGCGAACCCAGCCATAGAATGCAACCAGATCTGCCACCATGCTATGATGTCTGAAAAACACTCTTTAAAAAGTAAAAAAGGAACTCCTTTGGTGACGCGCATGGCACAGTTCCTTATTCCGGAAACTGGTACTGGACAGGCTGCTGTAGAAGAAACTGGCTGGGTTAAAACATTGTGCTGTGCGAATCCAGATGTTGTGGTTGGTAAACAAAGGTTTATGGTTTGCCGCAATGTGGAAACTCAGCCAAGACTGGTTCATTCAAGCATCCATGGTTAAAACAAGCCACTACGAAGGGCCACACACATGAACCAGTTTGGTTTAGTTCAAATACCCCAGATGCAGCTGGACAAAAACCATTCTCCACCAAATAGATGTGTAAACTTGGCAGCCGGGTATCTTTATCACGCTCCGAAACAGGACGTGACCAAGCCAGAGAGTTCCACTTTCGGTCGAAAGAGGCCCCCGAGATGGCAGACGGTGCACTTCCGTTTTCAAAAGAACGAAATGACACGAGATACAGGCAGCGCAGGATCATTCATGCAAGGCGCCTGGAGAAGGGGGAGGCAGGGACCTCTCTGCCCGTCGGCAGACTGCCCCCAAGAAGACCCGCCATTCAGCCTACGATTGTCTAGGACTGTCCTCCTCCACCCAGATGTTGGGACTGCAAAGCCTCAGCCAACAAGATGCCTTGCAACACACAAGGCCATGGAAAGTGAGGAGAGAAGGAGAAACAGAGGCACGTTCCAGAAAAGCAGGGTCTCCTCCCCTCCCCTCCCCTCCCTTCCCCTCCCCAAAAGCGGTCCCCAAGCAGAAGACTGGGGCCTCCTCCCAGGTTCCCTGCCCTCACCAGGAACCTCCTGGTTCCCCCCCTCCAAATTCCCAGTTTCCACTCACCTCCCCCTTCAGCCTGATGGAAGGGGGGCTGGTGATATCGAGGGCGAGGATGGTGTCCCTTCCTCCCACGTACAGAGTCGCACCGTCCGTGCTCAAGAGGAAAGTGTCGTAGTTGAGAACGCCCCTCTGGCTGAAGGAGCTGACCTTGCGGCTAGGGTCCCCTGAAAGGAGAAAGAAGAGCTCCGTGGAGCAGGCATGCAGGTGTGGGGGCCGTGGACCACACGCCACCCCCAGGAGGCAGCCGGCTTCGCGCCGCTTGGCCGGTTCAGGGCAACCCGAGCAAGGGCTTGGGGCATCTGTTTCCTCTCTCCAAAGCCCGTGCGTGTCCCAGACTTTGGGTCCAGGTTCCACCCATTTTGGAGCGCACCCCTGGATGCGATGCACAAAGCCTGGTGTCTTGCACAGCCCAAGTTAAGCAGCGGCCAAATCTGGGAGCAGCTTTAGAAAGAAATGTCAGGAATGTCAACTGGGCCATGAGCGGGTGGCGTACGAAAGGCTCTCGAGGTTAAAAGTGGACCAAGGTCTAGACAGTTGCAAGTGGCCCAAAGAGAGAAGTGAAGAAACTGAGCCAAAAATAAAGGCTAAAAGGGAGGGGGTAAGTACCACAAAAGACACAACCGAGCACTCGCTCGAGAGGGGCGACACAACCAAAATAAGGAAGATGGATATGCTCCCTCCTGGGTTTCTGAGCATCTCTCAGTGCTCAGTGTTTTCCAAACTTGGCAACTTTAAGAGGGATGGACTTCAACTCCCAGAATTCCCCAGCCCACCCCGCTGGCTGGGGGATTCTTGGAGTTGAAGTCCACTCCTCTTAAAGTTGCCAAGGTTGGAAAACACTGAGGACTGAGAGGTGCTCAGAAACCCAGGAGGGAGCATATCCATCTTCCTTATTTTGGTTGTGTCGCCCCTCTCGAGCGAGTGCTCGGTTGTGTCTTTT